ACATTGTCAAGGTAATTACGTATGGGATCGATTTTTCTGTGAAACCGGTTTTACCTCTTGACTTGATCTGCCACCATCTGAACCGCTCAATTGTGCATCTTGGTCTTCGTTACGCAATCGTTTTGCTATGCCGTCAATGAGAATCCGAGCCTTTTCTAATCTGAACTAACTAGATCAATACAAGGCCCTGTAGCTTTCTCGATACTGGCGTACCTCGCTTGTGATGTCTCAGAAACCGATTGGTTTGAAGGCTGGCCGTCGACAGCTATCGAATCGTCGATGTTCGCCCTTTCCATAAATCTCATGCAATTATAGAATCGCCATCGTCTAGGTTTCAAAGGATCGCTCTCGTATAGTCGGGTAATCCTCCAATAGTTATCCTTCAAATTTTTCCATGTCCTCTTCATGTCATCGGCTGCAGATAGTATCAGTTCGAATAACTCCAAAGAGATATACTCAAAAAAGGAAAGAAACTTACTGTCGACTTGAATTCCAAACTGCTGGGTGAGCTCATCAGCAACCTCCGCCCAAAGTTTAGCTCTCAACTCGGTGTCATGACTGACCACGGGCACCTTCTTCCAAAGCTTTTCCCGCTTCTTGACGCTGTGGGCAAGAGCTTCCCGGAGGTCGCCAGTCCATTGGTAGCGCACTTTTAGTGACATTCTCTGAGTGAGACAAAAGAATAACTTATTGAGAGACAATGCTCATATGAGTTAGGAAGGAACGAAGTTGATAAGTGAAACAATGCGAATGCAAGTGGTGGTTGTGTCGATGGCGACGGCGCGCGATTACGCGCATGCAACGCCGATCGATTAGCGCGGGCGTGGAGGGGTGTGGGGACATGACGAGATGCCGTGTGGCCGAGAGAACACCCCGACGCGTCATCTCTTTGTGGATACCGCCAGTTTGGCTAGCGGTGCAACCGCCGAGGCCATCGTTAGGGGCAGGTGATTCTATGACATGACTTAATTGGAGATCATTGAGAGCGATTCCTTGACCATTACTATTTACAAACTATTACCATGGCCAAACGGGCCCTGACATTTTAAGGGACCTTGTGATGAAAACAGAATTGTCCCTTATTTTCACATGCGCGCGTATTGATTGCCATATTTTCTCTTCATCATAGCTGAGTGAACGCCTTTCATTTCCCTATGGGTTTGCATTCAAGGGTCGCGACGCTTTCAGAATTTTCGAATTTTTCATTAATTCATACGTACGGAGACCTATTCAATTTTTCAAAGATTTTTTTTATGAGTGGAGCGAAACATTCCATCAATTGGTGGTATGATGATAGTGGTCTCAGCTGTGTTAATGACAGCCGGCTGTTCCCAATTGCCTGTGTTCCCACCTTAATATGGGCCTGCTGTTTAGTCAGTGGTTACGCAATCCGGTCGAACAAAATGTTCTGGCACAACTGAATGATTGCTTTTTCATCTAATCCACCGGTTTATTCAAAATGCTCTTTCTATTTGCTTAGTATTGGAAATGTTCTGTTGTGCTGTATATCAGTTCAATGAAAAAGTGCATGAGAGCATATTCGGCGGAGATTTTTAAGCAATGAATTGAGAAATAGTAGAATCGATCGACTCCCCAAAGCCAAACTTTCTTTTTCTGGTTCATTACGTATTGATGATATTCACCAAATTAGTTCAGAAATTATGTGATAGCCTTGAGCACGATCAGAAGTTGACTCAGTTTATGTTTTTTGTATTTATTTGTGAACATCAGGGTTAGTGTCTATGTTGAAGTTACGACATTTGCCTTGCCTTCTGATTGACTGCTGTACGTCAGCAATCAAACAAATTACATTAGAGGAGCGGCTGGTGTCACAGGCACCGCTATAGCTCCGCCCGCTCTATCATACATGGCAGTGAGTCGTCACAAACCAAAACCCACCAGTTCCCCTCGCTGTCTTTTCTGAAAATGTGTCCTGCTTCCTTTCGATATCAGGGGATGCTCGAAGTATTATTTTATGTCGTCTGTCCGTTTTTCCTTTCATTATTAACAGGGTTTCGAAAAAACAAATTAGTTTTGGAGTATTTACATACAGATTAGCTGATGTCATCACAGATGTAGGTGTGCTTATTAATGGGCAATTTTGTTATCTGTTTAGATTGGAAACTTTCAGGCGCTCCTTTTTTCAAAAGCTGTCTGAACAAGGAAAGGATTTTACTTTATCGACGAACGAGTGATTTTACTTGAATTTCAGATTAGTGTTGGCTTCATCGGATATCCGAACGTTGGCAAATCTTCTATAGTGAACACTTTGCGAAAGAAAAAAGTATGCAAGACAGCGCCGATAGCAGGAGAAACAAAGGTAAGACGAAGGTTGATTCGTGTTTCTCTTTTTGTTCAAAATTCATGAACAGGAAATGTTTTTTTTTGTTTGAAAAGTATTTTTTCAATTGACTTTTTCTCCACAACTCCCTTAGTATATATGTTTAGTTTTGCGCTTTCATTCCTACTGTCCGGTTTTTTTATTCAGTCCCTCTTCAAAATTCTTGTTGTTATTTTTCTGCTAGGTTCCTTGCCCCGTACGTTTTTTCTGCCTCTATCTCGCAGAATTGTTTTGCTCTAGGTCTGGCAATACGTCATGCTTATGCGTCGAATTTACATGATCGATTGCCCTGGAGTAGTGTATCCGCAGGGAGATTCGGAAACGCAGATCATTCTGAAAGGAGTTGTGAGTAAAACCTTTTTTCAATCTTCTGTGCGTATGTCAAGCATGTATTCGAAGTGAAAGAAGGTGGAGTATTACGAATTGATTCTTTTCCTAAACAATATTTTAATTAAGGTCCGTGTTGAAAACGTGAAGGATCCGGAGAACCATGTTCAAGGTGTGTTGGACCGTGTGAAACCTGAACACTTAATTCGACATTATGGAATCGATGAGTGGACAGATGCTGAAGATTTCATGACGAAAATTGCTGTAAAGCAAGGTCGTCTTCTTAAGGTTCTTCACACTTGCTAACCTTCGCTATTTTCTACTACTTTTTTGTAAAAAATTTTCTGAAGTTTACCGATCCATTTGAAGGGTGGTGAACCTGACATTACGGCGATAGCGAAGTTGGTCTTGAATGACTTTCAACGAGGCAAATTGCCCTATTTCATGGTTCCGCCAGGCTGTGAAGAACGGGCTAAGAATGAGTTCGATCAGGTCGGTTGCAGTTGCCAAGTTTTTTCAAAACGACCTCAAGCGCCCGCTTCTCATTGCGAGAGATTGGGTCTTGGCTAACCGCAGTGTTTCTGATTTTTCCCATTTCAAAAAGCTGTGGTTTATAGCCACCGATAAATGAGACATGTGCTGATGAAGATGTACCAGCTGATATGCAAAGTGAATTAGGAGATGATGAAGATGGGCCAGAGGGCAGCAGTTCCGTAGATCCAGTGAGTGCTGAACAAACAGAAGAAATGGATGAGGTTTGGCTTTTTCTTTCGATTTTGTTGATCTGTTTTCGAGCTCTGAACGTTATGTATTTCGTTCTGTTTTCTAGTAATGTATGCATTCGCGGTGAAAACGTGCATTCTTCCAAATTCTCGCCGTTGAACCATTTGCACCCTCGCTACTGGTGATATATATAAATTCCCACTCAATTTTTTTGAGTTGCCTCTCTTTCTGGAACTTTCGGGACTTAAGGATAATATTAGGAAACTTGCTCAACCGCTTTTGATCAAAACAAGTGCGGTGAAAAATAATCAAAGCTCCTAGCAGCTACTACTGAATTTAATTGCCCTTTTCACATTATTCTCATGCTAATATACAGCAATACTTAGTGATCACCTGAATCGAAAGTGGCTCGTAAATTATCGCCATTCAGGACGACGAATTGACTGACGTTGGCTCTTTGTGTTCCGGTCTGTCTGATTTATCTGGTGTAAGCGATTTGGAAGAAGATCTTGAAGCTATGCAGTCTGATAATCAGGAAGAAGAGGTTTATTTTCGCGCTGTCTCTATCTCGTAGATCTTCCCAAATTTCTTATCAACGGTTTGGCTGCAGGAGAAAAAGGCTCACGAAAAGACGGAACCTAAAGGAAAGCGTGCCAGAGGTGTACGTGCCGGTAAGAAACATGACAAAAAGAGACGGATAGGTGGCAAGTCGATTGTTGAAGCAGCAGCAGGGTCATCGGTAAGTCAAGAAAATGTTAAGTATTCGAAAATTCTGTGAAAATATTAATCTAATTTAAATTCTGATTAGAAAATGACTGGCGTTGTTGAGTTCGGAGTGAAAACGGATAATAAGAAGAACAACTCATGGCGAAGGAAACTGCAGAAGAAACGGAAGATAAAACATCAGCCGTAGATGGATTCATTACGTCCCAGTGCTCCACAATCTTTTGTTTGTTTGTCGATGTGGGGATTGTTATTGTTGGGCGTTCATAAACTTGTTGAATTGCTGGAAAGGCCAGTATTTCAGAAAATCTCATGTTTTGTTGTCTGTTATGAGTTATGAAAGTATCTAAGTTGTTGATAATAAAGAAGTCTTGTATTCAATTCGTATTTGATTGTTATGCGGTTCGATATCCGATTACTGATTACAAATGAGACCTTAACTGGAGCCTCACTGTTGCCTTAGTTCTCCTTAATTATAGAAATCGAAGCAAAACGTACTCAAAAAGCATTGTTATGGATGATGCTGCTACTGCATGTGAAGGTTCGTTAGGAGATATTTTTGATTCATTTTGTTTTAATATTAGGATGATAAATATTGATGATAGGAAGTGGGTTAGTTATAAAGCAGGAACGAGGAACGATGTAACAGTAGTTTTGCCTAGCATTGCATCTTCATGTTCTTTTAACCCGATGTTAACCAGTTGGGGGTCAGATTAATGTGAGAAATACGCATGCAGTTCAGCCCCTCTCCAAATGCGTCACTAATGCCCTCAATTGCAGGAAAGCATGCCATGTTCTAGGTGGAGGCTAAGGTTCGTACTCATTCACATTTTGAGTTGTTTGTCGGAAACGACCTGTTTTGCTTGTGTGCTGCAACAAAAGACATATGCACTCGTTTCCAAAGTCGCTATGAGTAAGAGCTCGAATTGTAGTGCTTCACAGCTAATATGTTGCGAGGTTTCAGAGACGAAAGTTCCATAGGAAAGCAAATATCTGGGGTTCTTGTTCTCCTGCTCATTTTATTTCTTCATTCTAGAATGTTTTTACACTCCTATAGAATGGGTTTTTTGAGTTTCCTTTTTTTCAAGAATTTTCAAAATAGACGATACAGTATGACCTGATGTAGCTTTGATTTAGACTTGAAATTTTTCGAGAGAAGGCTGACGGAAGTGATATCTCACATGGGTCCGAGATGTACTCGCTGGAGAAGTGCGTTTTATTTGCTTGTTTTGTTCAAATTCCAAGCTTCTTGCAAGCGATTGTGTAGCTTATAAGTTCCATTTCTTGCCAATTTCGCTTCCTTTTTTCAGCAACTCTTCACTACGCAAAATTGATGACTTTTTCAGTTGTCCTTTTATTGATATCATTGTCTGCTGTGTTGACGTCGTATAATTGGATTGCTGATCCTACTTTGCGATCGGTATGTTTGTTTACGGGTTTGTTTTCTGGTATAGTGAATCGAAAAAATAGCATTGTTGTTGTTTCCCCTGGTTTTTGAGTTGTGCACAGGGAGTGGTTCAATGTCTGAGGCGTCAGTTTGTTACGATTTGACCATTCGTTTGAGGCACATGCTGACCTTTCGTTAGCAGTTTTCTCCGGATCGTGTACCTCGAAAGAAGTAAACTTCTCACTCACTTCCCCTTCCACCTCCGGCTCCCTTATGCTACACCTCTAGTTGGTGCGCCACTAAACGCCTAGTACACTCACGAGTGATTTCTGGAATCGATTTGCATGGTAAAGAAGCTCAACTGACTGTTACTTTTAGGTATCGTTGTGGGAGTCGCTGCAAAGTCATCCAGTTTTCAGTGTAAGCGTGCCGTTGTTGTTCATCCTTTTTACCGCGTTCGGTATACACAGGAGGGTTGTCGAACCATCGATGTGAGTCACTTGTTAGTTAATTATGTCTTTCTCTCCTTTGTTCCTTCGCAGTGGTTATTGTCTCTTATTTTTATTGATATTTCAATGATTTCGTAATCTTCGGTGGCTATTGTCTTAACGATAGCCTTTCTCCCTCTTTCTTTTTTGTTGAATGTTACTTGATTTGAAATCGTAACACACTTTCACTGCTATTCCCATTCTTTTTCTTTTCTTCGTTTTTTTTTTTCATTTCAAAGTTTTCCTTAAAAAATTGAATTTCTTCGATATTCCGTTTTTCTGTCGTCGTTCGTTACTCGTCGTTCGATTTCAAAATGATACCAATCTTGTGTCGATATTCAATTCGAGTTGAAGATAACACTTCTACCGGTAGACCTTAGCGCTTATCTCATTGTGAAGCGAAACAGTTCTTGGCGTGAAGCTTTTCTCACCGCGTCCTCGTGAAATCGGGGTTTTCTTAAGACTTCCGTTGTTTCTGCTGCGATATGTTAGAGATACTCTCCTCAGAAAAAAAGTTGGCCACGAATTTTTTTTTATGTGTTGAGATTGAGTTTCTGTCTTGACAGGGAAGGGCACAGAACAATAGAGCCTTTCAACTGCTGTTTTGAAGTTCAACGTCGATAGTGTCGGCAGTTATTTTAACGACGTCTCTTTCAAAACACCATTAGGAGAATGGTGATTGCAAATGCTCATAAACATGAAGGGGTCAATTTCGTATGTTGTTGAGTGCTATTTCTTTCAAATTAATCGCGCACCCTGACATCTCAATACTTAGCCTTGTTTTCTGTTGGAATAAGCTACCCTTTGAAATATTTATGAAACAGTTACTGCAATTTTTTCTCTCCGGTCTCAGTAGGCAAACAGTCCGAATTTTTTTTGGGGGGTGAAACCTGAGAATTGTAGTAAACAGTGAGTTTCGCATTCGCATTCATTTTTCCGTAAGTATTGCAGCTGCAGCAGCGCTGCTGAAATTCTTCAACTTCAGAGGAGCTCTGTTTTCTATTGCCTTGGCTCTTGGTCTCTGATCACAAGAATTTTTGCATTTTTTTCGGGCATAGAGATTGCTACAAAAATTTATCCACGGTAAATTGCTCATTGGGAACCTTTGGAAGATTCATGTTATGGCCTCGAGTCACACATTCCGACATTTGTCGTTGTTCTCATCTTCCTTACGTCTTCTGTGCCAAAGATCTTTCCACCAAGTTGATATCAGTCGCTGTTTGGCTTCCGTTGACTAATTATTCATCATTAGAAGTGATTTTTTAACATTCTTTTTCCGTGTAATCAGTTGCGGTTCATTTCTTTTCAATCGGATGTGTGCGTCATTGCCGTAAGGTTCACCTGCTTCAATGTCACTCGGTATTTGCTCCCTCCCATTGCGTTTGTGTGCATTTGGCCGTCACCCACCAGTCATTGCGGCGTCGATGAATAATAGCTGTTGGCGTGTTACTTTATGAGAGTTGTTAGGGTTTAACCATTCGAAGAAATGAACTTAGAAAAACACGATCATATTAGTTCACGACATTTTCGCTCAGGCAATTAATTGATCGTCGATTGATAGAGCTTTGGAAAAATTGATTGGTCAGTATGACTCACTGGAGGCCCCGTAAATACTGAACATTTTTGAGAAGCTTATTCTTTTTGCATTTTTATGGGAGCCTCTTGAGAGCTCTGCACTGAGGCTACTCTTTTGAGGGCATTCATAGGAGATTTCAATCGATTTCAGTCTCGATTTCAGTGCTTTTTGTTCTTGTCGTTTACTTTGATTGAATGCTTTCCTTCTGACAACTTTACTTTTTTTCTTGGCTATAGTTTATTACCGAACGATTACATTTGTTGTCAGGTTTTTGCTATTATCAGCTGTTGCGATCGTTCTCAGTCGATTGCGGTCATCTGATAAATTAGTGTGGGGATGTATGCCAGGTATGTGTGTGTGTGTTCGCCATGCGGCAGTCGACTACACCCGCTTGGTGAATATAATTCCTTTGCGATCAATAATTTCCATTTGCACCATATCGCGACATCGGTGGTCCAGCTCTTTTTGCAGTAGCAGCCATTTTGGCTTTATCGGATGGTAGAAACTGGATAGAGAAAGGACGTGCAGCTTTGGTTTTGCTGCTATGAGAAGCCCGCTGAATTTTTCTTATGGCTTCCCGCTCGTTCCCATGAGTATTAATAATCTCCCTCTTTATCATACATTTTTGCTATGGCTCTCTATCTCTGTTCTCATGAGATTTCTGGAGAACACAATGTTCCAGCCATGTTGGCAGCTACCATTCGTTCAAATGTTCCCCCGTTTTTCCGCTAATCATTGATTTCCCCCGCAAAAGGCCACTTTGGACTCCATCATTCCTGTCTCAGAACACTGTAGTCAATGCCAAGTACTGTGTAGCTTGTCATTCCTCTGATTTAGTGGGGTTTTCGGTATCTCTACCAATCTAAGCGTCGACCGTGCTGGTATTTTTTGATTTGCGAGAGGCCTTGTCGCCAAGCCCTAATCCATGAAACGCCATCGTGAGATTGTATGACATCTGCTACCCATCTAATTTCCGATTCCTTTTCATTTCGAATTTTCGATTGCGGCAGCATCTTTTGGCTTCCAAGTGAGGGGGTTTTCCCTTTGCACTTGCGTTTATCGGTGTCATTCAGGCGTTACTGTTTCTAGCTCAGGCTTATTTTGCTTGTGCCAAGGCCAAGTTTCTTAGGGAAGGCATAAAGGAATGCAGAATAGAAAAGATGAAGGCGGAGCGGGATGTTGTTTGCTTGCTTCACTACTCCCGCAGTATGCCTGGATTCTTATTAAGAATCCAGAGATGTTCACTAGGGAAAGCCTTAAATGAACATGAAAAATGAGATTGCTTCCACGTTGTCGACTTGACTTACATAAGCACTGGCGACTTCACATAGAACTAACTAAAGTTTTGGTTACGTTGTGCAGCTGTTAGCGTTCGATTTGAGTTGTCTGGTTTTTGTAGGAATCAATGTTCATGGCCAAATGTAGTGATTTATTGAATATTGACGCCCAGTGACGCCTCTGTTTTCGCATATGCCTGGAAACATATCTTTTCTAGTCATATGAACGACATCTACCGGAAGTTTCTCCTCTCCCGATATTCTCTTATTTGATTTTCTTAGTTTGAGGGACTCGATTATAAAGGTACATGCATTGAAAATACCGATAATTAGTCAAACGGGCTGGAACTAAATTGTTGCATGGAAGTCTCTGTGTATGAGCTCTTCTGAACGAAGTTCAGAGCTACCTTTGTTGTCTTGAAAGAATTCTTGTTTCATTCGATGCTTCAACAAATCCGTCAT